TGTATTGGATGTTGAGGTCGAACTCTTGCAATGTTAGGGCCCACCTAGCCAGCCGACCACTAGGTGACCTCTGACTCATTAGCCATCGCAAAGGCTGGTGGTCCGTCCTAACCGTTACCTTCGCAGTATCTACGTAACCGCGGAACTTACCTAACGCCCACACGACGGCGAGTGCCTCTCGCTCCGTCGTGGAATAATTCTTCTCTGCACTAGTGAGAAGACGACTTGCGTACTCGATCGGTCTCTCATCGTGTCCCTCCCCCTGCATTAAAACAGCCCCGAGGCAGTAAGCGCTACTGTCGGTGCAGAGAACGAATGGCTTCGACTCGTCCGCCTGACGCAGAATGGGAGCGGATACGAGGAGACGCTTTATCCGCTCAAACGCCTCCTGATGCTCGGCGTCCCATCGCCAGGCACTTGATTTCTTCAGGAGTGTCGTAAGAGGTCTCGCGATTTCAGCATAATTATTAATAAAGCGGCGATACCAACTCGCCGTTTGTAAGAAACATTTTAAATGTTTAACATTCTGAGGGGCGGGCATATTATCAATAGCCGCCGTCTTGTCAGGATCCACCTGGATTCCGCCTGGTACAATAACATGTCCTAAAAACTTAACAGATTCTCTCGCAAAAAAACTCTTACCTCTGTTCACTCTTAAGTTAAACATAGCCAACCGATCAAAGACCGCCTCCAGGTCAGCCAGGTGTCTCTCGAAAGGTCCCGGCGACAGCAGTATCAGATCGTCTAAATACGCTAGGAGCGCTACTTCTTTCAGGTTGGACCGGAATCGGTCCATCAACCTCTGAAAGGTTGCTCCGGAATTCCGCAGTCCCATAGGCATCCTCTTAAATCTAAAGGTACCAAGTGGCGTCGTAAACGCAGTCTTATCTTGGTCCTCTGGGCAGACACTTACCTGATGGTAACCTGAACGAAGGTCCAGAGTAGTCATATATTCACTGGACTTAGCTGCATGCAGAATGTCCTCGATACGTGGAAGCGGGTATCGGTCTGGCTCGGTCACCGCGTTCAATTTCCGGTAATCAATACAGAGCCTTACATTACCGTCCTTCTTCCCCACCAATACCACGTTAGAGGCCCACGGCGACTCACACTCCTCAATGATGTCATCTCGCAGCAGCTTTTCAAGCTCCTTCTGCAAGGCCTCCTTCTTACTCTGTGACATTCTATATGGTGGACAAGCAATTGGTTCTTGTTGTGGACTCACCTTAATTCGATGCGTGGCGAACTCCGTCGCCGGTCCATCGCGTGCAAATTGCGGCGCGCGATCCTCAATAAACGCATTAAGTCTATTCTGTTGCTCCTGGGTTAACATAGATCCTTCGTCTGCGCGCAACATCAGCTCATCAGATGCGGCATGCAATAAATCTGTACCTGCAGGGTCAAGTGTGTACGAATAAATAAAATTAAAGCACTGTCCGGGACTATCCATAAATGTCCAAGTGCGATGGGCAACGTTTATTACCATTCTGGCCCGAGACAAGAAATCTATACCTAGAAGTGTTCTAGTGTCACAACCTGGCAACACTAGTAATTGACACATTACACTATGGCCTTCGATATCTATACCTACCTCGGCCGTCAACAAGTCTCTCCACACTTGTGTACCGTCAGCCAGGTGTACAAATCGTTTAACTTTACTAAAGTGTACTCCCAAGTCTACTAAAATTTTATATAATAAAGGACTCGCAATACTATGCGTAGCGCCCGTATCCACTATCGCCACTCCGGTACGACCCATAACAGATATATTAACCATAGGATACGATTCACACGTACTCACGTTAGTTAACTTAATACATGACGCACTTGTATTACCTAAACTACTATTATTATTATTAAGGCAATTATCGTGATTATTAAAATCTACATCCAAATTATTGAACGAAGTTTTACCATCCGAATTCGTTAAAGTTTTCACACAAATATCACATTTCGACCTCACGACACCTTCCTTACCACAACCGTAACAACGTATACTTTTACGCGTGCTATCGCTATACAAATGTTTATCATTATTATTATTAATCATAACCTTCTCACGATTGCGACATTCTTCACTAATATGCCCAAATAATTTACAATAACTACATCGGGGCCTATTGTTTTTATTACTACGCAGAGTGATCGCGTTCGTACTATCAAAACTCGATCGAGTGAGATCGCGACCGGTAGTAGTGACCGATGTTCGTGAAATCGCGCTTTTACAATTACTACGATTATTGTTATCCTTATTTACCTTAAGAGTTTTATACATATCCTCCGCGATCCTCGTTTTATACATTAAGTCATCTAAATTACGAACATTATCGCGGGAAACTCTTTTAACAATACGTCGGTGTAATAACCCGTAACAAATATCAACTTGCACTATTTCATCGAGCTTATACGGTAACTTTGCAATTAACGCTCGCACTTTACACAAAAACGACTCGGCGCGTTCTTCTTCTTGCTGCTCCGTAGCGAAGATCTGCCGTAGAATCTGATGCGCGGGCTGCGCCACGCCATACGCCGCGCGTAGGCGGGCGACCGCGTCCGCCCATGTAGTCACCGACGCCTTAACGCCGCACCACCATACTGCCGCTTCACCCTCCAGCAACATCGGCAATCCGCGGAGTGCGAGCTCGTCACTCACGGCCGCACACTCCTTAAATATCTCGACGGCATCCAGGAACGCTTCTAATACCTCGGCGTCCTGGGACGACCCGTTGAACCGCGCCGTGCACTTAGTAAAATTGGCGTCGACACTCGCGACGCTGGCAGCAGTAGCACTCCCGCTGTTCACATTATTTGTTTGAGAGGCCACGACTGGGGTGGAGGCCCTAAATTCACTGCTGGACGTCATCAGAGAATTGATAAGGCTTCTATTTGCTTCCACTTGCGCACGCGTTATTGTTTCCATCAGCGCGGATAGGAAGTGTTCGGGGAGCTGGGGTGCTGGTTGCTGTGTCGAGCCGGCTCGCGCAGCTCCGTCCACGTGGCCGTGCTCGATGGTGCTCTCCTCTCCCTCTGTGACATCGTCCCCTCGCTGCTGCCGAAGCGTTTCCCCTCTCCTCGTCATAGGCATCTTCACGCACTAGTATATAAGTTTAAAAGTTCGAGCCACTAGTATGGGCGCCAGTTTAATAGGTACACAACAGTCTATTAAAAATATATTTATTTCACTTGAGGTTTGACAAGAAAACTTATGGTTATAGAAGTTACACAAAAAATTACATAAAATCTTACAACTGCGCGAAAATGAGAGTCGTGGAGGATCGTTATGATATAGATGTTTACGCGTTCGGCGCTCGCGGCTCTCTGCCTCGTCGAGCCACGCCGTCGCTCAAGCGTTCGCGGGAGACGGGGGGGCGCGGGCGCCTAAACTATACGATCGCACGAAACACGGCCCTACAGGATCGTACATGTTCCGACACGATACACCGCGATCACTGTTGTTTGTAAAAACCCCGCGTTACATAAGTTATTTATCATCCATGCTTTAAGTAAGGCTATGAGTAGACCAGGGTCATTCAACTTACATACAAATCACGTGGTAATTCAAATTATTTTAACTCTTAAATCATCAACGGATGATTTTTTTATCATTTGTAGAAATATATTTCCTAGAAACTTTCATCCTGCATTTTACCCCGTTATAGGGATTGGATTTCAAAAAATGCTAAACCATATTTTTATTTAAATGTATTGAAGAGCATCAATACCAAGTTTCAAGTAATTGTGATCATATATAATTCTTTGCCCATATAGATTTCATTACCTTTATACCCTCTTTTACCCCTGTATAGGATGAATTTCGATAAAAATCAAATATATTAATTATTTTTTATCTTCAAGCTAAATACCACTTTCTGTGTATTTCATATTAAGAATGACAGAGTTTCATACAATATTTTATCTTATGGAGTACCTAAATTTCAAAATTTCCTTTCTTATTGTATGCCTACATCACATATGGAATACATTGTCCTAATTTCACGTTTTTACAACCAGTGGCTTAGTTGTTCCATCAGTCAGTCAGGACCACTACAGGATGCATCTCTCTCCTGAATTCATCCTACAGCTGGTCTAACTTTCAGGTAGGTACAATACATTGCACAGGTAAGATGCGAACACAATAGAAGCAAAAACCAGGTACAAAAGAGATATCATAATAAATTGCTTAACCAATAATTTGTTTTTAGGTAAATATTCTAGTTGAAATATAAAACAATGTAAATTGAACCTTAAGTGCAATGCTTAAAGTTGTTTTTACAATAATTTAACCTCAAAAATTGAAATTTTGAAAATGAAATATCTCGAAAACTACTAGCCTCCGCGGTTTTTACTTTTAAGGGGAGTTCCTCTCACCTCTCGCCTCCTCCCTTAAATCGATGTCATAGATAAAAGTGATAAAGACGAGAATAAATGTAGATATAGAAACCATAGCTATAAAAATCTAAAGAAGCTTTTTACAATTCATTTATTCTAATGAACAGTAAACATTATATACTAGCATTGCCCGCGGATCCGCCTGCGTTCAGATGACCAAAATCCAAATTCTTAGGTTTTACATAATATTAGTATACTCTTACATTGCAGTTTTTGCATTTTTTTTTCAGAAATGAGACATTTTCCTGCAGTAAAAAGTATCCTATATGTTGACCCGGATAACCAGCTAGCACCATACCAAATTTCATCAAAATCCCTCCAGTGGTTTTTCTGTGATGCAGTAACAGACAGATAGACAAGAATTCTAAAAACTATAGATTCAGCCTCTGTATCCATAATAATGTTTATTTCAATAAGATTTTCCAAAAAATATATAATGTACAGATTTGGCTTAGTTACAATTTTATTATATGTATAGATTAAAATAATAATCAGAAAATGAAATTTTTTTTTAATATTGTTAATCAAAATAACACAAAATGTTTAGGTTTATGGTTTATTTACACATTAAGCTACACCCATTCTGATTTAAATAAATATTCTAAGCTTTAATTTTTCAATGGACCAGCCGAATCTGGTGGGATACCAAGTTCTTCATCACTCCAGGTGCTTGGATCAACATATGGCCATTCACCCTGTAAATTCATTTGTTTGAAAAATATTCATTTGAAATAAAATAATATTTAATGTATGCATAATGTAATTGCAATAGTCTAAGCAATGTTTAACATTGAAGTATGTTTTATATCTCCCCACTGCTGGGCACGGGCCTCCCTTCAATACGAGGGGGATCAGGCCATAGTCCACCATGCCACACAAGCCAAATGCAGGTATGCCACCTTCAGATGTCTTTCGAAAACTTCTAGGTTCTCTCAGACATGCAGGTTTCCTCACAATGTTTTCCTTCACCATAAGGCAAGTGGTTATCATGTTAGAAAAGATTTGCACATGAAAATATCAGAGGTGCAAGACCCGGTATTTGAACCCGCTTCACTCGGTTTCCCAAGCGAGTGCGTTACCACTTGGCTACCACTGCCTATTTGTTTTGAGAATTACAGAAATATGATGTTTGAAAATTTCAATGAACTTAGGTACTTCCATTTATATATTTATAGAAAAGCACTTTAAAATGACCAAATCATACTTTTAAAGGTTTAACATAATGGATTGTTACTTTACAAGGACTGAAAATAATATGTCATGTCTCAGATTAATATAGAATTATTACAAATAAGGCAAATTCTATTGCAACTAAAACCAAAGGAGTTTAACTCACATAGATGTGTTCTGGTTCTGTAGCAATATGGTAAAGAATCCACCACCAACAAAGTCCCCCGAGAACTTGAGCCAAATAGGTTACCCTTTTTGACGGCATGGGTGGTGGTACTCGGTATGTCCAAACCCTACAGTAAAAAAAAACAGGTACACATGCATTTATTTAGGGGTGTAGATTAAATAATATCTTTTCCTACTGTGAACAGATTTTTATTGAATAATATCGTTATATCTTCACTAATAAATAAATAATAACCAAGAGGCGGTTCAACATACATTTGAAGTAAATTCCACCTTTGAAAATTTACTATTAGTGATTTTAAAGTCGTCCTGCCTCTTTAGTGAAAATGTAACTAACAAATTGCTGAATTTTATTTCTAAAATTGATAGCTTCTAGAAAAACACCAATATCTGTATTTTTATACCAACAAATGTAATGACATAACAAGTTCTTCAGGTAATCCTTACCCATGGCTTCCATTTCTTGTAGCTTGTTTAATATTAGACGCATTTTTTAAGGTTCTCAATAATAGAGCCCTCGAGAGAATGGTACGGCCTAGCATTTTTACAACCTAAATTGTATAAACCTGGTTTTCAAATAATCTGCTGCTAAAAAAAATTACATACGAATAATGAAAATTATGTATCTGAAAGTTGAAACTGACAGTGACATTTATAAATAATTGCCTTGCCTAATGTCAATTTTCAATTCCCTAGTGATGTACTAGATATATTTTACTGCATTGTGTGCGTTCTATCGATTTAGTTTACAATATCTTATAGCTGAATCACACCGGTCCTCGTATACATCGAATTTCGGCATCTTCTAATATTTTATCTTGAGAATGCTTTCACGAGTTTCATGATATTAAGTTTATTCAAAGCAATATAGATATTATCTATCGAGCGTCCACTTTAGGCAATATCTTTAGAAAAAATCCAATCTTTAGAAATAAATCTGCGAAATAATCCGATAAGATAGTTTTATTTAAAATGTGCTGTTTAGTTACTATTTGATCAATTTTTAATTTGACTTATATTTGACTTATTATTATTTGACTTTTTTTAACATTATTTAAATTAATTATTATAGCTGACAGTTGTACACTAGTTATGAATCATTTTTATGGTATTTGAATTGTATTTATTAATTATAGATTAGGGATTTCTTATTATTTTATTCTTTTTATTATGTAATTATAGCGAATGTTATGTACACTTGTATAGACAGGCATATCTGATTAATTAATTATTATTGTCTTCTAAATGTATATAAATGTTTTAATATGTATGTTGTTAGTTTGTTTTTCTAAATAAATAAGGAAATATCTAGAAGATAGTGGCAAAAGTAAAGTTCATGAACACAATATATGTATAACATATAAATTTGTAGCTATGTTTTCATGTGCCTTTTCATTTTATATAGCGTTACATTGAACGTTACTTAGTATATTACTTCATCTTGTAAAACTGAAAATTGATATTTCATTGTGCTAAAAACACTTTACACTACAAAGACGTACACCAGATGGCACAAAAATTATACTATTTATATCCTCTAATAATCATCAAGTAACCAAGGAGTCGGGTCTGAATATTAGTGGTATGTTCTTAAAAATCTGTCATGAACAACTTGAGATGCTACTTTTTAAATGGAGTTTGAATACGCTACATTTAAAAAAAATCAGGTGGGGCTGTGTCGGAGCACACCCGAGCCGTTGGTTTAACGTGAAACGTCTATTTAGTGCTAATGATTAGAATGAATACAAAATTGACTTCGTTCTAATTATTTTTAATCCTCGATGGAAAAAGAGGGGTGTTATAAGTTTGACGTGTCTGGTTGTTCGTGTGTATGTGTATCTGTGGCATCGTAGCTTCTAAGTAATGGACCAATTTTGATGCGGTTTTTTTGTTTGAAATCTGACGTAATTGTGATGGTTCTTAGCTATAATTTATAAAGTTCAGGAGTTTGATGATTATCACTCATTTCCTACTCTACAAAAGGGTCTTACTGACTTTCACAGTGCCAATTAATTTGCAGCATGATCTTAATAGTGTGGTCTTCTGGTGTCAAAAAAATGGTATGATATTAAACGCGGGTAAGTGCTATCAAATTACTTTCACTAGAAAGCATCATGTTATTAACGCCGATTGTCAATTAAACGGAAATAGTTTACATAGACGCAATTGTATTACGGATTTGGGCGTAATTTTTGACAGTAAGTTAACATTTCAAGACCATTTATCAAGTATTGTTAGTAAAGCCTCAAGAACACTAGGTTTTATCTTAAGTAATTGTAAAATTTTTAATTCCTATACAAAAATCAAATTATATAATAGTTACGTAAGAAGTCAACTTGAGTACTGTAGTACAGTTTGGAGACCACACTATTCCACACATTCACTGCGTTTAGAACGAGTTCAGAAAAGATTTCTTTGGCATCTCACTCGCTCAGAAGGTATCTTGGACAGAAAGAACTCATATAAAGAAAGGTTGACACACTTTAAAATGAAATCACTTTCAGAACGTAGGGATGCCTTAGATATTATTTTTGTTTCCAAAATCATAACCGCATTTATTGATTGTCCCAACATATTAGCACAGTTACGCATTAACGTACCATCAAGATGCCCTCGTAATTCCATCTCTCCTTTCTCACTTCCCATTCGCAGAACCGTACTTGGAGTTAACTCACCCATTCTGAGACTTAGTCGATTAGCTAATTACTATGCAAGAGAATTCGACATATTTTGCGATCCCCCTAGTAAAATTAAAAAAACATTACTGTTTATGAAGTAGACCCAGTTGTGAGACAAAAATCTTGTATTGTTTGTATTATTATTTTTTATTTTATTGTTTTATTCTGTTTCTTTTTTTTATTACTTACGTGTCATTTTTGTTTTTATTATTTTATTTAAAATTTATCTTTTATGTTAAACGCCACTTTTCCTGTCATTATGCATGCGGTGTTTATCATTATAAGTTGCAAACTGTAAAATATCATTGTGTATGTATGTAATCGTGTATTGTGTACAACTTGATAAACCAAATAAATAAATAAATAAACAATAAATTTGGTGTACTGTTACTTCGGTGGTATTTCCAAGACATGCTAACCTTGAGCAGATGCTGTAGCATCAAATAGTCTGTGGTATGCTTAATTTCTTAGAAACTAACAGCAGATATAGCGTATTTCGGCTCATAAGAATAATCTCAATTAGATTTATCTATTGGAACTAGTGTCCGCGTGTAATTTAAGAAATATGAAATAAAAATAAAATAAAAAATATTAGTAAACTCCGCCACAAAAAAAAACTCTTAAAAGTAAAAATATAAAATTTCTCACTTGGTTTTCAACTTCATTAAAAGTACCCACGAATACTTTTATGATGAGCATCGTCTGGGGTACCTATGCGTGGTCCCTAGTCCTCTCTTTCCGATGACAGCCGTTATATATATTTCCGGCTAGGTACAGCACGGGATGAGGCCAACATTTTGAATTTGTATATTCTTATATCCCTGTCGGTTATTTTTTCCTATATATTTTATCCAAATTACACCCAGTTTTTCTAAATACACTCTATAAGGTAACGTAAGAACCACAGCACTATCACATGTCAGTCGTGAGTTATATTAATAGAAATGTGCGAGAACGCTAGTTACTGTCATCAGCAGCCCCATAATCGCAGCTAAATAATGAGACTAGATTCATGTTTCTAAGATGTTTTTGTTACGATTTATTTTTCTGACCATATCCTATGTTTCGGTGTGATTTAAAAGACGTTTCACGTCAAAAATAAGAACTTCTACTACTAATATATTATATTTAGTTAAACAATGTCAAATTAAGATCAAAAGTTTGTATTATATTTTACGTGCAAAAGTAACTGAATAATCGAAGGATGCTTAAACAAACGAACACATTTAATAAATTAAAGAAATCATTTTATTTTTAGTTACTAAATTGATAAGACTGTAATCAGCATTAAAAAAAATATTTCATATTTTAATATTAAAAAAAAGTGGAATATATTTTTCATAAATTATTTATGTAATTGTAATATAAGATAATAAGAGATAAAATTTAATAATAATCTTTCGGAATCATTTACTAATGTATCTCAAATTAATGGCGTAAATTTCGATTTTAGAATATAGGTCGAATAACGAATTGCCTGAGACATCACTAGATTCCATTCATCGCGGAAATAACATTTTGTTTTGTCAAGTGACGCCCCTAAATTATTTTTATAGTCTGTAAATAAAAAGATTGATATCATCTTTGACTTTGTAGTTTGTAGTTTGTTGCATATAGGAGTGAGATTTCCACCAAACTAATGGCGAAGAATCGCGCGGAAGCACTGGTTCATTAATAAACATTTCTAGCTCGTTCTCAGCGTTGGTGGTTATGTCTGTACGTATTACACATAATCATTCAGTAAAAATTATAACTATTTGTTGGATAAAAAACTAAAAATGTGCTCTAAATTTAATTGTTGTTTCTAATTTAAAATTATTTCTAAACAATATTTCTAAGAATCCGAAATCATGCAACTCGAAATAAATAAACTCCCCAATTTACTGATCAACGGTATTAACTGAAAATTGTATTTTGTTGAATAAAAAATCAATAAAAACATCAGTACGAAAATGTATACGGAAAATGCGAGTAACGAAATGCATTCGTGAGTAACGTTTCGGTACTCGGTACTAGATGGCGTACCCGTTACTCAGTAACGAATACATACGGTTTGCTACAGCTCTAGATTTCACCAAGTTGTGATTTGTAGCAGCCACTATGAATTTAAGTAGCAGGTGTGACGTATGATTACGCATTTCACGTGATTTTTCACTTGCTACTCGTGAAATGTTCCATCCCTAGTTTGTTGTCATCAGTCATTTTTCACACAGCAATTGCACACTGCACAGATATTAAAATTATATATATTGATAACTCATTTTGCATTTTGCAATAATTATATTTTAATAAATTGTTCTAAATTACTTATATTTATTGTGTTTTGCGTTCTATTCTATTTACAATGTTTAACAAATTCATTATTTAACTTTCTACTCATGATCTTTATGCCTAAACATGAATAATCGTAAGCTTCTTTAAAATGTTATGAATATTTCTGAAAATCTATTTGCCGGTGTTATTGAAGATAATATTTATATTTGGTTTCTAGAAAGTAGAGGACCCGCAAAGCGTAAAGTTAAGCCAGTGGAGCCGCAATCATTATTAGATTTCGATCTTGGTGAGGGGGAGAGTTCTGACGATTCTGATTTTCGAATTGAAGACCACCCTGAAGAAAGCGACGACTACTCTATAAACTCCGATGATGATAAAAGTATGTATTTTTTTAAAACAATTATATTATCTAGTAATTGTATAAAAATAACCAGCAATATAAGAACAAAATTATATTTCAACTATTTTTATTTGAATTTTAAGAGGCAAATGCAAATAGCGGGAGCTCTGAAGATCAATCAGAATCAGATGGTGAAGATGGATACAAAAACACAACAAATAAGCTTGGTGAAGAGATGAGTGTTACAGATCTTCTTGAAAAAGCAAAGCAACAAGAATTTAAGGTATCTAACACGTTTGTAGAACAAGAATAGGAAAATACTTGCATAATGCACACAATTTTAATGGCTTAGTTTTATTAGTTCTTCAAAAGGATACTGTAACGTGTGCATTGTTTTTTGACTCACATTTTATGAAGCACTTACACTATCTTTTGTTTTTCTAGTTTCCAGAATTGGCAAATGTGATGATATGTGCTGGTTGTCTCGGTTCAAGAAGTGATGATTTCAATGAGATTGTTGAATGTGATGGTTGTGGTGTTACAGTACATGAAGGTAAAATAAAAAATTATTAATAATAAAAATTAATAATTTAACTTTTAAATTTAAACAAAACTTTAATTTTACACATAAGTTATAATACTGGTGAAGCAATTAAATAAAGCAAGTAAATGTGAATGTGGCAAAATGTTAAGAAAAAGAAGCACAAATGAAACACTTATCTTTAATTATTTGGTCGATTTAAGAATTATTTATGTACTAGCTCATCACCCTCGCTTTTCTCGGGTTTGTCCTTAGGTATGTTTTATCGGTTAGTATGGAATAGATAGACTATATTCATACTTCCATACTTTGAAATGACATGAAATAAACTTTATATTATAAATGTGAAAGTGTGGTTGTTTGTCTTTCTTTCAATCAAATCCCTAATTGTTTCGACGTGAAAGAAGGACAACACACAAACAAACACACTTTCACATTTATAATATTAGTATGGATGCAGTAATTTAACATGAATTTAAAATGAAATTTAATATAAGTTTTTATTATTTGCAGGCTGCTATGGAGTTTCAGATGTTGCAAGTGAATCAAGTACTGTTAGTTCAGCTTCAACAGAGCCATGGTTTTGTGAGGCCTGCAAAGCTGGTGTGTCAGATCCAAATTGTGAACTATGCCCAAATAAAGGTAACCTGTGTCTTGGTAATATTATATTAATGTTAACATAATGAAGTAGCATCAAAACTTTACATTGAATGTGATATAAAAATGACATCACATTTTTACCACCTATTTTTAAATGTAGGTTTGGTAAATTGAAAATTTTAAGTATAGAAATCCAGATTATGGTCTTATATATTATTTATTGGTCCTAATTGTTAAAGAAAAAAAAGAAAAGTAAACATTCACTTACGAACTTACACTTTTCGTTATTTTATTTCAGGTGGCATATTCAAGGAGACAGAAGTTGGTGCGTGGGTTCATCTAGTGTGTGCACTTTATGTGCCGGGTGTTGCATTTTCAGAGGTAACTATACTAAAACAGATCTTAATTTTTAGGGTTCCGTACCTAAAGGATAAAACGGGACCTTTTTACTAAGACTTTGCTGTCCGTCTTTCGATCTGTCTGTCAGTCTGTCGATCTGTCTGTCAGTCTGTCGATCTGTCTGTCAGTCTGTCGATCTGTCTGTCCGTCTGTCACCAGGCTGTATCTCATGAACCGTGATAGACATTTTAAATATTCACAGATGATGTATTTCTGTTCCTGCTATAACAACAAATACTAAAAAACAGAATAAAATAAATATTTAAGGGGGCTCCTATACAATAAACGTGATTTTTTGCTCATTTTTGCCCGATATTGATCGATATTGATGACGGCAACAAGTAGACGCTTGAAATATTCACAGAATATTTAGTTATATATTCAATTTAAAAATAAATAATTAAATTAAAATAAAACAAATATTTAAGGGGGCTCTTATACAATAAACGTGATTTTTTTGCTGTTTTTATAGATAATGGCACAGAACCCATCGTGCGCGAGTCCGACTCGCACTTGGCCGGTTTTTTTAAAAACTTTTTTAAAAATCACTAATTGTATTGATTGTGATGGTTCTGGATTTAGGCCTTTTGTTGATCTTTTGTTTACCTAATGGAGATATTTTTCATGTTTATTGTTTATCTCAAGTTAGTGAGATTGTTAACATCGTATTACGGAAGAAGAATAAACAATGATGAAAGATTATAATAATGATAGAAGGAAGTGAGTAAAAAAAATATAATCTATATATAGGCAAAGACAAAACAGTTCAGTTTTTTTGTTTAGTGGGTACTGACAAGGTAAAGTGTTACCAATAAAAAAATAAATTGGAATCAGTTTTTTTATAGTATAGATAGGTAAATTTTATTTATGATTTGATTTGATTTATAATTCAAATTATGAATAATTATTATAATCGTATTACGAATTAAAGCGAAAACTAGTATATATAAATAAAATGAGGCAGTGGTAGCCTGCTTGTGAAACCAGTGAAGCAGATTCAAATTCTAGGTTTCGCATCTCTGATATTTTCATGTGTGAAGTCATTTTCGCATACCATCTGTAGACAAAATACAGGTAGTTACGCGGGACTCATCAGCTAGAGAAGCCAGTACTACCCACTAAAACCCAACAAAACCTTCCCCCGTCTTAATGGGGCGTCGCAGGATCGCTTACGCATTCAACTACGACGCCCCGACGGCAGGTCTGCCGAAGCAGACCACCACAACCATGGGGTTGCTCCACAGTCCACTCTGCTATCAGAGAAGTACCAGGAGCAACCCGCATGGTACACCGTCATCTGAGAGAACCTAGCAAAGCTAGTTTTACTAGGAAGCCATATGAAGTCCTCCAACTCTTACGTGGCCAGTGTGGTGGACTATAGCCTAATCCCTTGTATTGAAGTAAGGCCAGTTCCGAGCAAATATTGTTGGGATATATTATAATAGTGATCGTAAACTCAAACTATAACACACAGGTAGAGCGTCTCTCGGGCGTGACGCTGTTCGAAATGGCGTACTCGCGGTGGGGCGCGCGGTCGTGCGCGCTGTGCCGCGACGCCACGCTGGCGCGCACGGGCGTGTGCGTGGGCTGCGACGCGGGACTGTGCAAAACGTTCTTTCATGTTACTTGGTGAGATTGTATATATATTTTTTTAACGGAAAAAGTTATGTGTATGTGGCATCATCGTTCATAGAAATCTGCATAAGAGGAGTTGCGAATTTGCTGCCAGCCTTTATGGAACCTCTAAACTCTAAAGACACGACTTAGAAGAGCCCATTATTACAGCACTTAATGAGAAATACCTATATAATATATACCAGTGAAAAAAAGCAGAGCAGTGCGGGATTCAGTGGTAGCCTATATCCGATCCCAGAATGCAATCTTATGTTGCTGCCCAATTTTATCGACATTTGTTCATAGGTTTTAAACTTTAAACGTAAAAACGTAATAGGTAAAGTTCAGATGACCAAAAACCAAATTCTTGGGTTTTACATATTAGTATACTCTTACATTGCAGTTTTTGTATTTTTCTTCAGAAATGAGACATTTTCCCGCGGTAAAAAGTATCCTATATGTTGACACGGATAACCAGCTATCATCATACCAAATTTCATCAAAATCCCTCCAGTGGTTTTTCTGTGATGCGGTAAGAGACAGACAGACAGACAGAAAGGCAGACAAAAATTCTAAAAACTATAGATTCTCTGTATCGATTATAATGTTTAATTTATTTATTATAATGGTTAATTTATTGCAATAACATTTTCCAAAAAATATCTAATGTACAGATTCGGCTTAGTTACTATTTTATTATATGTATAGATAATGATATGGACTTATTGTTCAATTAACTTTTTTGTTGATCGTTACAAAACTAGTAGAGCACAGATTACTTCGCCTATTTAACCGGCTGCCAAAAAGGAGGAGTGTCTATGTTCATTGTTCGTCTGTATGTAGGGGTTTTGTACGTATATGTACCGATTTCTCGTAGACGGCTTGACCAATTTCGCTACTTTAGACTTTTCTATTAAGGTAGGTCTCGAGATGGTCCCATAAAACTTTATTTGACAAAGTTTTTCATTTTTGATAAAATCAAAATGACCATGAATTGTGAAGCATGTTAACAGATTTAATTACATATAACGTTATTTGTTGAAATAAAGCGGTCAAAGAGAGGGGTTGTTAGCTGAGGCACATTCAGAAGAGGCGGAACAGGCGGACCCGTTCTATGCGCACTGCCGCTTGCACTCAGACAAGATGTTGGTGAAAAAACGTAAGAGGAATTGGCTAGCTTTGCAGTTGAGGACTGATAAACGGTGTGTATCTCCTATGTATAGTATATTATTCTTCATTGCCCTTAAAAGAAACACGGTGATTAAAATTCAATAAAAGTTTGCAAAGGTGGACATATCTCTAAATGTATATATATAAAAGTGTTATCTGAAAGTAACTAGCGGCTCACCTCTAGGAAAACAAAGACAAACCCATCCCACGGGAATAGTACATTTTTCCGGGATAAAAAGTAGCCGATGTGTTATTCCAGACTATAATCTATTTCTGTGTCAAATATCTATATAATATCCATCCAGATCCATTCAGGCATTCTGGTGTGAAAGAGTAACAAAATTCACAAATTTTCATATTTATAATATTAATAATACGGATATATGAAAGTGATATATGAAAATGAAATACTACTCACTTATTGAATAACTACCGACTTACTGTGGCTTCGCTCGGGACCCTAGATCCGTGTCTTTTTTAGTAGAACCCTAATTCTTTTACTAAAATAAAAGTAGCTTGAATTATTCCTTGTAACATCAACTATCTGCCACTGAAAGCCCCGTCAAAATCAGCCCAACCGTTTCGGAGATTAGCCGGAACAAACAAACACTTCTATTTTATTTATTTGCATAGATTAAGAATCAGAAAATTGAAAAAGAATTGAAAGTCAGAAATTACCGATACAAGTCTACTTCGTTATGAAAGGATAGGTTTTATATATAATAAATTACAGTATTAAAATCATTTTTTTATGACAGAAAAATTGAATTACAAAATAATCTGAGTGCAGAAGAAAAGAAGCGAATTCAACGCAAATTGATCAAGTATAGGAAGAAATATTCGCAGCAGAAGGAAAATCGAAATCCACCGTGGGGTAAGTTAGGGGTTAGGGGAGTTTCATTTATTTTCTATCAATATGTAGTAAGTTTTTTTGTAAATTATACATTTTATACTGAAATAGATAGCTTATGTATAGTTACGAGATAATATACAGCGAAATAAACTTATAATAAATTTATTTCAAATATCTCGGACACTGCGCTAACAACTTCGATCAAATTTTGTAATTATAAGATATATATAAGATTATGCCTTTTTATTTTGTCTATATATGTGTCCTTTATTGAAAAAAAGAAAACGTCTTTTCCGAAAAAACAAGAATACAATATAATATAATATTGGTACACTGTAAACAAATTTTATTTTCATAAGAGCAAATGTTGAGTTTCTCGCCGGTTCTTCTCAGCTGTTTTCTGAGTTGATAGTAGTTTCCTCAAAGATCAACATATTGACATTTGATTTAAATTTTAAAAATGAATATATTAAGTCTATTTGAATAAAGTATATTTTGATTTGTTTATTATTATTTATTATACGAAGCGTTAAATCTGCATTATATAATAGTTTCTTAGATTTACGCTAATATTTGACATTTTAAATAAAACTATCTTTTTGGATTATTTCGCGGATTTATTTAGATTTTTGGTTCCCGACGTTTCGAATGCTTTACAGCAATCATGGTCACGGGAGATACTAAGGTTAAATAAATCGAAATAAATCCGCTAAATAATCCGAAAAGATAGTTTTATTTAAAATGTGCATTATATTTCAGTCCCAACACAAAAAATGGCGCGGATGGTGTATAGCAGCGCGTCGGCCATGAGGAAGTTCCAAAGGAAGGCGGAATGCATGGGGGTCGACACGCACGCACTAGAGTTTCAAGATGCACAGGTTATTTGTTTATCTTATTACTTACTAGTAAATTGGCCTGGTTTTGCCTTTTGTTTTAATTCGACATAATTAAAAGTGTAATTTTAAATATTGATATTGTAAGAGATAGAAAGGGAATAATTTTGGAAAACTTCAAAAAAAGAAAATTAAACTTGGTTAGAAATAAATTATTTTTGTTGTAACATTGCCAGCTCTTGTCTCACTCATAAGAGGCTAAATTTAAAAAAGAACGATCGTGTAAGAAATTATTCTTAACATTAACGTCAAAATTTAGATATAATCAAAAAAAAAAATAAGAACATTTGTTTCGGTCCGGAGGGATGGACGTTAGCTGTTAATTAGTGTTTCTATAATTGACAGTAAATAGAAAACAAAATATATGTTTATGGTTATAACATGTCCTTTTTTTTTTTAACGTTGGGAAATGCATTTACGCACGAAGTGTGGGACTCACTGGCGAAGCCAGTACTACCCACTAAAACCCAACAAAACCTTCCCCCGTCTTAATGGGGCGTCGCAGGATGGCTTACGCATTCAACTACGACGCCCCGACGGCAGGTCTGCCGAAGCAGACCACCACAACCATGGGGTTGCTCCACGGTCCACTCTGCTATCAGAGAAGTACCAGGAGCAACCCGCATGGTACACCACCCTCCGAAGAAGGCCGCCTCCCACCGCCCACCGAAGCGGGCTACCTCCCTGTGCGTTTCTTGGCTTCGCGAGTACACTACTGAGCCCCTTCACCACGACAAGGTGAACGCACGTTGGGGGGGATGGTTATAACATGTCCTGTCACATGACTTAATACAACACTATTGCTTTGCTTTTTTAAAACTTTATTGTTATCATCACTTGTAAACAGCTAATTGTTGATTAGATCTTAATTTCTAATGATTGTTGTATCGATTTGAAAGTTTGTATGTGTAAAAGTCTTTTTAGGGTTCCATACCCGAAGGGCGCTAACGGATCCCTATTACTTAGCCTCAATTTTCCATCCGTCCGTCTGTTAGCGGGCTGTATCTCATAAACCGTAACAAATTGAGAGTTGAAATTTTCACACAGTGTCTATTTCTATTGAAGCAACAAATAATAAAAAACAATATGGCGAATATCAAAATGGCCGCTTTGCAAATTAAAAAAACATCGAATAAATTACGAGTTTTGTTGACGAGTGAAATTTGAACTATTTTTTTTGTAACCATAGAATGTCAACTCACTAAGTCCCTTGTAGTAATGACTAACAAGTTTTTAAGGGAATAGGCGGCTTTATTACTTTATCTATAGGGGCTGGTTAATGAAACCTCGGAGCACTTAACTTCACACGTTTATTTTACTATCCGCCACCATACAGGAAAGGTTTAATAATAATGGAAGAAGGAAGTATGTATTGCCAGTTACAAAAAAAATAATTACCAAATTGTTGACAACTATAAAAATGTACATGTTAGAAATGATAACACAAGTAACAATAACATTTATCCCAGATGGCAGCATTGAAGGATGTATCGCGACGCTGGCACGTCCCGCCGGCGTTTTCCGTAGAATTCGTTGGATACTACTTAGAAAGGAACACTCGTGTCACATCCCTAAGGAAATCCCTGGAACGGCTCACGAAGGAGAATGAGAAGCTCGTTGTGGACGATGAGAGACTTAGGATTGAATATGATGAGGTAATATAATCATTATTAATCTTTAAATTACTAAATATTAATTTTACATATTATATTTAATTTTTTTCTAATCATTGCATGAAACGATTATTGTATAAGTCTTTGTATTAAAAAATTAAAAAATAATAAATAAACAAATTAAATTGTATCCTGTAGTCAATTCAAGTGACATAAAAGGCTTTTCATTTTATTGATAATTTATAATGCAAATTGAATATAGATTAAATGGTGTGTAATGGTGTTCTAGAAGATGAAATTCTTAAAGCTGTAAATTCTCATAATGAATGTCGGCGCGTAGCCCAAAATTCTCTCAGATTCCTGACAATATGTAGATCTAATGAAATAACCTTACCATTCAAAAAATCGAAAAGAGAATGGAATGATATTACACAAAACTTATTTAACAACTCGACTTCGATATTCTTTAATAGCAAGATTAATTTACTACTTGTTACAATTGATATTTAATTTATATTTAATACAAATTACAAAAATTATATAAAGTAACATATATTTTACAGTTGGATGTTGTTTTAAAATCAAAAAATATTAATATAATTTGTTATAAATATTTTAAACTAGATGACATAATAATCGCGCATCCATAAACACTATGCTATTTACTACTTAACATTTTGCTTTAGGCGTCAAAAGAGAATACGGATGTTCTGGCAGAGCTCTCAATGACGAAAGAAGGTTTACAAAAGATATACGAGGCGATAATAGCAATATCGCCCAAAAAGGTTATGCCGGCCATCATGGAGGACAAGCGGTTGGTCGCGCCCGAGGCCGCGCGCTCCACGCCCAAAGTCACGCCCCAACAGCTACACAAACGGTATGCTATTTTTTATATTTTATGTATATAAATGTATATTTATCTATACATCTTTACAGATAAATAAAATTGAAGTGTTTGTTTGTAATGTCAAAATAACAGTGTATTACTAAATGCATATGAAATTATATACGGTACTTATAAGAAGAACACAATTTTTTAAATTTTTGTCTGTCCGTCTGTTTGTTCCGGATAATTTCTGAAACGGCTGGATTAATTTTGATGGGACTTTCACTACTTATATTTTAGAAAAAGAATTAGGATTCCGCTTAAAAAAATTAAAACTTTCCATTTTCTTTTTATGTTTGTATATATGTACGTATATTCAAATTCATATATTTTTATTGTTTTTCTCTTATATTTGAGTTCTCGATATGTTATAAGCGCTATAGTCACGGGTACATTGTGTAGTGTGTACCCGTGGGTGTTGTATTATTCTGTTTAAAATAATTAAAATATTGTTAGTGAGTTTAAAGAATTTAAAGAGAGTTTACTACATGTTTCTCATATTTAGTACTATCAATTAATATCTGATTTATCTGGCAGACAAGTGAAAGCAATAAAAATAATATATATTAAAAAAATGAATATGAAATAGATTAATACTTTTTCCTTTAAGTATATTATATGATTGCATTTCTTGTGACCAAAGTTACTAACTTATACACATTACCTATTTCTTATTTGATATTTATTGTGCAATTTCAATATCTAGACGCGAAATAAAGACAATATACATATATATAATATATAGATATTATAAAACTATCTTTTCAGATTATTTCACGGATTTATTTTGATTTTTGGTTCCCGACGTTTTGAATGCTTTACTGCAATCATGGTCACGGGAGAGACGTCGGGAACTAAGAATCAAAATAAATCCGCGATATAATCCGAAATCCGATAGTTTTATTTAAAATTTCAAATATTCGCGTAAATCTAAGAAAATGTTAAACGATTATAAAATTTGAAATGGCACAATAAATATGTGAATAAATGAGAAAAGGTGAGGTGTATACAATAGTATAGTGTATGGGCGTCAGGTCCGTGCCCACCGCGGCTGCACTTAAGATGGGCGTTGGTTTTCCTCTTAGCGACAACCCGGACGCTCGCCACGGGAAAGTCTTGTCGACTTCTCTAGAAGGTGGGTTTCTTATTGGTTTCTTTTTGTTTTTAACCGATTTACCGGGATTCAATTTGAGAGATTTTTTGGGTGTTTATGTGTGTTTTTGTTTAGTGCCATATATATACATTCCAGGCGTGTATTTTAGGTTATTTTGAAAGCGGTGTAACTTTATGTTGTATATAAAAGTTAAATATTTGCTATATTTAGTGAATATTTAGGTACAGTTTCTGTAGCCTTTTTCTCTGAATATTAAAAGAAGTAAAAAACAAAGAAAAAAGAGAATTTTATCTACGAAGTACATCTATCAATTTATGAAATATTGGATTGAAACCACGATCTGCGTTACAGTAAATAATAAAACTTAGAAAAATCGAAAGTACTTTGTATTTGGCAATTTTAATAGTCAAATAACTTTTTACCTATGAATGAAAGTAAATTTTAACTTTGCTAGTTGTTGTTTTATATATAAAGCGCTTACTTATAAAATTCACTGAGATGTTTTACTGGCGGTCTTCGGTGTTCATATTTGCTGTAAGGACTTGTCTTAAGACAGTTTGCGCGGTGATTTCAAATTCATAGTTTACTAGCGACTTACCCTCGCTTCGCTTCAGGTCATCCCTAGGCAAAAACAAATTTATCCCACGGAATTGCGGGATAAAAAGTATCCTATATGCTATTGCAGACTATAATCTATCTCTGTGCCAAACAAAAAACAAACATCCATACATCCATTCTTGCAAACTTTCACATATTTGTGAGATAGAATTTATTAGCATTATGATTATTTCAAGTATTAAAATAATCACACTAATATTGAGTGAGTGTGTTGGTTTGTTGTTCTGGTACTGGTACGTCAAAACTTTTTTCACAATTCTGAGTAACGGATTACTATAATAGATGTGGAAGTTTTTCGTGTGTGTGTCTAAGTTTGTTATTCTTTCACGCTAAAATGGCTGGATGGATTTGGATATAATTTTGTTAGTACACATCGGCTACTGTTAAGCACAATTGCCTCGGTAGTTTAGTGGCTAGCAAAGACGGCCGCAAGTCCTGTGTTCGAGTTGGATCTTTTGTTACAAATAAAGGCCTATTATTATGATGATATGAATGTAACAAAGTATGTAACGTGGTCCGCCCGTGTCTCAGCGACGGGCGCGCTGGCGGCGCGCGAGTGCGCGGTGTGCGGGCGCCGCAGCGAGCGCCACCTGATGGCGGCGTGCGACACGTGCCGCCACCACTACCACCTGCACTGCCTGCGCCCGCCGCTGCAGCGCCCGCCCAAGAAGAGCAAGCTCTACGGCTGGTCAGTATTGTGTTGACGCACAGCGGTGGATTTTAAACACTTTCCTAGTATTTGCTGTTGATGTTTTGCCATTTATAATTGTCAGTTCTTAGATTTTTTTTTACTATCTAACAATTTGGATGTAACTACACAAGAAATAGTTTCTGCTAAAAAAATCTGCTCTAAAGCCGCCACTTAAATTTGCCGCCCTAGGCTTAAGCCTACTCAGCTGGTAAATGCACCACTAGATTTGACTACCTGTAAATAAACAACACTGTTGCCTAGCAACGGCGGCAAAAGTGTGCCCGGAGAGAAGCCAGACATTTTTGTTTGCTCAAATAGACGATAGATGGCGTTGATCCACAGCTACTAATTAAATCAACAAAATTACTCTTATTGTAACTAATTAGTAAAGTGTGAGTATGTACTTTACGGACCAAAACGTGTTCCCGATGAGATCCCATTGTGAGACCCCTATATTTTTTGTAGCTTGATTGTCTTTGACGACCAGTACGATGACAAAAAGCAAGCTCGACGAATGAAACTACATTACTCTTATACTACGTTTTATACATAGCGTACAATCCTGGATTCGAGTTAAGGTCGGCATAAAAGTATTATTGCTTATGAGGGATCATTTTGTTTAGGATATAATGTTTCTTGATTGTTATTGTTTGATTTATTTTGTTATAAACTAACAACATGATCTGCTGTTTGTATTTTTGCTTCACTGTAAATATTTTTCCAGGCAATGCTCCGAATGCGATAAAACTTCAGACTCAGAACCTGAAGTATTAGAAAAGAAAGTGCCGCGACGGTCTCGAATTCGCTACAGCAAAGATGGCGCTATCATATCTGAGCCTCAAAGTCCTGGTTCAGTACCAAATTCTCCGCCGCCGAAACCTAAAATGGAGAAACCGCACAAAATCGAAAAGCCTAAGTTAAACATCTCAGCAGAAAACATTTCACCAATAAAAGTGACAATAAAACCCTTCGAATTTACTAATGACGGTAATGAAAGTACCGAAATAAAACTCAAGAAGGAGAAAAAAGCCAAGTCCAAAAAGGAATATTGTTCAACTTCGGGCGGGGAGAGTGAGATATCGACAAAGAAAATTCACAAACGATCGTTTACTTCCCCTATATTAACAAATACGCCATTAATGTCGATAACCCCTATAGTAGCAGATAGTCCAAACGATTCTCATAATGAGCATTCAAACGATTCAACAAATGTCGTACCGCCCAAAGATTCAAGTTTCTACTCCCAAAATCTATCGTTCTCAGCGTTACTAAACGATTCGAAGGAACGCGATAGTAAAACGATAGAGAGTTCGATAGAAAGCACTTTAGCGAATCTATCGTCAGATATAGCTATGTACAAAGCAAATAGAAAGAGAAGGAAGGAAAAACACAGGTCGAGATATTCACCGGATTTGATGCGGTCGCCCTCGAAATCGCACAAGCACAAAAGGAAGAAGAAAACTCAAGATATAGAAAACCCAGATCCGCCACACCCGAGGATTACTATTAAAGTTTGTATACATTTTTTGTTTACTTTCTATTATTTGCTATATAAATATAATCCATCAAATAAACGCCAATATGATTGTAAGGTTAAAATGTTTTCGATCATATGTAATATATGGGATTCATCCAAATAAATCTTATAAAAATCTTATGAGATGAAGCTCAAACTAAAAGTTACTATATAAATAAGCCCAAACTAGTTACTAATCTGTCATAAAGCATAACCAAATTTTGGTTAAGTCGGTAAAATAGACATAGATCTTCATCTTGCTTTTATTAGCTTCTAAGCTAAAACCTTAAAACACGATTATAACCAACTTCTACCTATCGTATCGATTTGAAACTTTTTAGATCTGAAATCAAATTAGGATGATAACATAATAATAATATAATATCATCGAGTTAGTCTGATGACAAAGCCAGAAAGTGCATAGCGCAGTTTTTTATAACTAGGATTGTTTATGGAAATACACGATCTAAATTAATAAACATAATATGATGTTTGCTGTAAAGCATTCGAAACGTATGCGACCAAAAATCAAAATAAATCCCCGAAAAAATTGTTTTATTTAAAATGTCAAATATTCGCGTAAATATATGAAAGTTTTATGACGAATTCTTCAAAATGTTGTTCTTTTTCAGATCAAACCAATTCCAAAGCCGGATGGATCTTTAGACCCTCAAATGTTCTACGTACCGTCAGAAAGTAATGACGGACCACCTCCTGTTGTTATTAAGAAAATTCCTAAGGTATTTATATTATATAAAAACTTATATTATACAAAATAATTGTTTATTTTATATTAGTTTGTAAAATATAAGTGATTTTTTATATGTATCTGTATATGCGCCTACTAAATAAAATTGGATTAGTTTTGCAATAAATCCTTTTGAAAATGTGGTGTTTAGGGGATACTAAGAAATTAAGAGAAGTTTTCCATTTTTGTACGTATATAATTAAATGATTGGAATATTATAGGGAATAAAACAATCTGTAAAAATAACTTGGGAATATATTGGATACCTTGTCAAATTTGAAAAAAATCATTTTATAAACTACTAGCAACTCACCCTCGCTTCGCTCGGGTTCGTCCCTAGCTTGATTCCCCATACAAAATTTCATCTCCATTTTCACCCCCTTAAGGGATGATTTCCAGGATAAAAAGTATCCTATGTCCTTCCCAGGGTCTCAAACTATCTTCTTACCAAATTTTATCTAAATCGGTTCAGTAGATCCAGTGGTTACCCCTAACAACGTTACAAACTCACAAACCTTACCTCTTTATGATATTAGTATAGATAAAACTTAACCGAAATGCGTTTCGCCAATACAAATTTAAAATTTATTTTTTTGCTTTTTCTTAGCCCCTGGAACCAGAAACACCTAAATCTCCGCCATCGACAGAAAATTTGGATCCCCTAGCCGTTGCTGTAAGTATACATAATTAAATCCATACTTCCATCTAATGTATACTAAAATTATAATTAGTGAAAGTTTGTATGTATATGAATGTTTGTTACGTTTTCCACTTGAACTCCTAACCTAATTTCGATGAAAGAAAGGGTATCGATAGTCGATAATCGATCGATCGGCTCATTATCGCCCCAGAATAACGAAAAAAAGTTATGTTAAACAATTCGATTTTTTCTTTACATATTTTCAAAGTAGACTGTACCTGATAAGATAATATATTTATGAAAGAAAAAACTAAAGCAACAATACTACTTGTGAGATGCCCTGCTTTGACCCAATTGGATTTTTCATACATTTTCAGTAACATTATAAATTTTTGTATATAGAGCGCAGCAAGGAATCACTGTAATTGTTAAATATAATATCGTGTAATAACATAAGATCATTAAAATAGAATAAAAAAGAATGTGTTTCTTATAAGCACTCTATATAAAAAATTGAAATGGTTCTCAGTAGAACTGCTTTTCAAGTCGGTGGCAGCTTCCACACGGACAGACTACACTGACGCTCTTTAAACTAAATTGATGATTTATAAGAATCGTATAAGTCTGTTTAATTTAATTTCATTTCAATTGTGAAATTTTCTGTCTTTGTTATTCCTACACGATGATTCGGCTGCACAGATTTGAATGTAATTTTAGTACACAGTATGACCTAGAGTGACATAAGGAGTACTCTTAGATTACTATAAGTCGCTAGTTTAATACTTTCTTAGATTAACGCTAATATTTGACATTTTAAATAAAACTGTCTTTTCGGAATATTTCGCGGATTTATTTTGATTTTTGGTTGCCGTCGTTTCGAATGCTTTACAGCAATCATGAATCTAAATCTAAAACCTTAGTCTCTACCGTTTACAATGGTAAAACCGAAAAAATAGTTTTATTTAAAATGTCACTAGTTTAATTTATATTTAAATATAGTGTAGGTATAATCGAACTTGTATCCCATATAATAGTTCTCAGTGACAACAAACAAATATATCGCCAAAGAACAGTAGAGTTATATTTTACATAATAATGATTAATACATGTGTATCGTAAATGTAATATATCACAATAAACCTTGCCCTTTCAAGCTTGACATATTGACGTGTTTGTTGAACATTGTAAGGGTATGCGCACACTATAATTTTATATAAAACTAGGTAATTACGTTTCTTTATGTAATACATTTTATTGTTTTTTTTTCTTCAAACTATTTAGGCAACGCACACCGATATAGCAACTCTATTGCCACTTTTCTTCAGATTTAGATTTATTAATTATTTGATTTTTGAAGGTAAACCCATTTTTATCCTAATACAAAAAATCTAAAGTACTCTGCGGTAATTTTAGTCTCAATTAGTGAAATAATTTTTAGAATCAGATGAGTAGTTTCGTGACCGACTAAAAAAAGGAGTAATATATATACATATATATATATATATATATATATATATATATATATATATATAATTTTCGGTTAAATACTTTCCAATTGTAGAGAGTAGGTAACTTGCGAATTAAACAATAAACACGTTTAAAATTGTCTTTATCAAAAAAAAAATGTTTACTTTTCATGGTTGTTCCGATTTCTAAACACATACTCGTAATATTATAAAATATGCTGTTTTCATTACTTTGTTGTGGAGAGTTAATCTAAAAGCAACATCTTTATAGTAGAATAGTATAGGTACGTAAAAGTTATTTTTTTACAAGCCGCCTATAACGCAAGAGGAGAAACAACCTGAGCCACCAGTCACTATATCTAAGCCAAAGGTAGGTAATTATGTAATACTGATATATTTGTTAGGTTCATAGGAATTAAGAATATTTCTAAAGTGTTTATTTACGTCATAATAAAACAATATTTTGTCGAAGCCGTTATTCATGCTTAACTAAGGAAGGATTTTCGTCATTTTCTGTAATATTAATAATAATAATTTCTATAGTAACTATACACTAAAGAAGACACCTCACTCCACACTAATAAAGAGCTGTTTTATTTGGTTTGAGGTACATGGCGCTATTAGTAGACAGTCAGGAGACGTTGTCGAATTGTTATAACAATTAAAAAAAAATGTATGGACTTACATTTGTGAAAGATGGTGAAATACAGAAGCAAATACAATTTCGATGATCATAACTTTGAAACCAGAAAAAATAGCTCAGAATATTCAGATCATCATCTTAAAATTCGCAATAGAAACTGTGGGCCTATTTTTTAATTAGTTACCAAAAAAAAATTAAAATTATGAAAATTTTATTAAGAACTTAATATTTTACTTTCTTTTGTTAAGAAAATAATATAAGTATGGAGTGTCCATCGAATTTACTTTTTTCGTAATACCTATTTGGAAAATTATGCTAAAAAGTAACGAAATTGTAGTAAATACAATCCACTTTAGAGGGCACAATTTTTTAATCAAAATCGTCTAATTTATATACAAAAAAAATTAAATGTGTGCAGATTTTTGTACTGTCTTTCACTCGATCCGCGAGCTATCTTTTCAAAGAAACATTTTGTTTTTCACACATTAAGGCGTTCGCTCATTCTCAAAAGGGGACTCATATTCTTTGTTATTCCATCACGTATTGTCAGTGCGTCACAAAAGCGAAGCATCTTAAATGTGTCTTTATATTGCGCCTGTGTGATCTTTCATATAAATATAGCTTATTGTTTGAATTTATGACATACTAGCTCTTGCCCGAGGTTTTGTCTAATTACTTATTCCTATTTCTTCCACAACTAGTGGATCTTCTAACTCAAACTTAATTTTGGGATTTACTTTACTCGATAAATATACTTTTTTTTTACAAAGTATTTCTAACGTGGGAAATATAAAAGGACTAGCATTGCCCGCGGCTCCGCCCGCGTTCAGATGACCAAAACCCAAATTTTTAGATTTTACATATTAGTATACTTTTACATTGCAGTTTTTGTATTTTTTCTCAACAATGAGATATTTTCCTGCGGTAAAAAGTATCCTATATGTTGACCCGGATAACCAGCTATTACCATACCAAATTTCATCAAAATCCCTCCAGTGGTTTTTCTGTAATGCGGTAACAGACAAACATACAGATAGACAAAAATTCTAAAAACTATAGATTCGGCCTCTGTATTGATAATAATGTTTATTTCAATAAGATTTTCCAAAAAAATATTTAATGTACAGATTCGGCTTAGTTACAATTTTATTATATGTAATAGATGTAATATTATTATATAGATAATATGCACATTTTAAAGGAACGAAGGTGGCATTCTCTTTATTTTATTTTGTATGAACAAATAAAGGAAACTGATATTTCTAAAACCAAATGCCAGACTATTACGTGTGACTGTCTTCGAATAGCAACTACGTGGCATTCATGAAAGCTTTTATTCTCGAAGACTACTGAATATTTCTGTGTGCAGAACACGATAAGATGTTAAAAGTATTTGTATATAAATTTTGTACTGACATTTATATACATAGTATGTACGAATAAAATAAATAATAATTAATAGGTGCATCTCGAAGTTCTTACATAATTGTAAAATTAATATATTTTTGTGAAGGATTAATGTTTTGACTTAATTTTATCTATTAATTAAATAATAACACTTTTATACAATTTTAAAGATAAACGATAAGAATTTTCGTGTTTCAGTTTTATTATACTCACGTGTTAATTTTTCTCAAATATAAATATTGCCAATCTTAAAAAATATATGATGTATTTTTCAAAATTGGCACTAAATGATGAATTATGAGCTTGGCTGACCATCGCTTTATATGAATTTATGGATTTCCTAGCAAAACCCGTAATTCCGTCCGAGATACGTTTTTGATAAACGAGTCTTTGAAAATGCATTTTAAAAACTATAGAATTGTTGTACCAATACTTGTGTGTTTTTGCATTTGATAAGGACTTTTTGTGAAGAGTGAGTTTATAATAAGAATAGTGTAATATATTACTAATTGTTTTTTATTCTGTTAAATCTTCAAGAGTTAGTATGTAAAACGAAATGCTATATACCTAATATAATTAATTAATTTAAATTACAATTTGAACTAGAAGAAGGAAACAAAAATAAATGTTTGACCTATATTTATAGGTATCATGAAATCATTTTAATATTTAAAGCTGGTATCACTTACTTTGGTAATACAGAATATACCTACTTTAGATAAAAATTATTCCGCAGCATACCACATAAAAAATTAAGTAATTATCGAAAATCAAAGATAATTGTAGTCTTAAATATTTTTTCAATATCCTAAAACAATCAAAATAATATAAAAAACATCATTTGGACTCAACTATCTTACCATTAACTTACGATATTATAGATTCATCCAAAGCTACATATTTTTAGTCTATACCCGATACATACCACATTACTACGTATTAAATATGTAGCTATAATAAATAATAATGAAAAAAGCCTTTTGCTATAATTCATGGTAACAAATACTTGAAGCCCTAATTCCGAAACTCAAACTGTTTATACATACATTGTTTATAATAAATAGTATATAATACGTTTTACATAGCGTTCCCGTGAAAGCCGCGCTCGAAGAAGTGCAGGCGGGGGTGATAGCGCGGTGAATACGAGTACATTGACGCCTCTAACACACTGCGACGTTTGCAATCAGCCCGGAGATACGACGAATCTCGTTCGGTAAGTACACTTGTAAGCACTTAAATATCACTTGAACTTGGTTTATTTCTAATATTAAGGTTTTGGCGGCTTAAATAGCAGGTCCTGGATTCGATTTTCGGTAGAGATCATAAGTTGTGATTTGCAGTTTGTATAAAGGTGATTCTACTATAGTCCATTCGAGTTAAGAAAATAGTGAGTCATCAAGTGCAACGGCAGGTAAATGTGAATAAAAACGGGAGTAAAAATTCAATTCAAATTCGGTATTTCAAAAGATTAAGTTTAATGGATAAAAATCAACTTAATTATCTTACTTATCTCAAATCTTGATTTGAGATGATAATGACTTTGTTTTGATTTGAGATAATTAATCCACTTAACTATCTTAAATCAAAATAAAGTCATCATAAAATGATAATGACTTTATTTTGATTTGAGATAATTATGTTCATTAATAATATATTTAAGTCTGCCTTCAACTGGTCATTGTGAAATATGACTTTATAATTTTATGTAATCTAATTGGTCGGGGGGGCATGACCAGGCCGGTGGACACCGATGACTCACCATTTTCTTAACGCGAATGAACTATAGGTGTAGAACGCGGGAAATAAAAGAAATGAGCAAAAGTTAGGAAAAATAATTTAATTATTTATTTTAGCTAAGTGACAAGTTAGTTTAAGATAGATGAAGACATTAATTGAACACTACTAAACGTATAATTTTATTGTTGCTTTTAAGATTTATTCGTTAAGTCGTTTATGAATAAAGTAGGTACTAGTTTAAAATTAATATATTCTACCGATGTTTACTTTTAAGTAAGAATAATATAGTACTATTTGAAACAATTTGCCAACATTCGAATTAGCCCCAGGAGTTGGAAACTACAATACAATTTAAAGTTGCAACAATGTGTCCAACTTCGCAACATTGTATTGAGTTAAACGGCAAGTTAAAAGGGGAAAAGCAAGAATTCTTTTGTTTTGTACCTTTACAAAATTGTATACTAATAACTTGTATCAGAATGTTTTATGCTGAACAGTTTTCAAGATACCTTCGTTAAATGTTAAATCTTTGTTATATTAGATTCTCTTTGTTTAAAAGAACAATATATTTTGGTTAAATTATTCTTATCACGTTTACCATTACTTGTGTATATAAAAAAACCTTTTGTTTTCTTTATGTAAATGCCTAAAGGAGTAATAGTTTTGACATATTTGTACTTAAACGCATATTATATTGTATATATAGATGCGACGAATGCAACAAACGCTACCACTTTACATGTTTGGAGCCACCTCTGAATAAGAATCCGAAAAAACGCGGCTATTCATGGCATTGTGCCGACTGCGATCCAACTGTAAGTACTGAATGCTTATTTGTTTTGTATATATCTACATATGTATATGTTGTTTGTATTTATTCTATGTACTTATATATTTATATTTGATTAAATATACTTTTAGTTTTAGAGTTTTTATAAACACAAGATAAATGGCTAAATTTATTGATTTTTCAATATTATGCATGATTTTTTATGCGCTGTCTTTTATGGATGTAGCAACATAACTAATAAAGAATTATGTATATGTTTTCCCATATATACAAAAAGTCATTGAATTTTGTTGGCAGAGGTCACCCTCTCTCTATTTTAAATAAAGTTTGTGATCTTTGAACTCATACAAATACCGTATAGAAAATTTCCAATTTTCCGGGTAACTTTTCCAACTGTTTTAACCTTATTTGGACTACTAAGGATATTTAAAAAAAAAACAAATTAGTCAAATCGGTCCAGATGTTCATTGATTCGGTTACCAACGCCTTTATATAGAATACATATTGAGATATAGATGGAATAAAAATAATTTTACCGTTTCACTCAGTCTTCCTTTTAAAACCGGTTAAATGTTATTTATTATCTGCTAAAATCCGAGTTGCTATTATAAAATATGTTATGAAAGTGATAAATGAAGCTTAAAGTACATAGTTTCGGGTGAGACGTGAGATCGCAAACTAAATAATGCTCGGCTTATACGAACATGTACTGTCTCTCTAATATGCTTTAATAACCGCTATAAAATAAAATGTTATGCTTTTTATGTTTTTAACACGGGCTTATTAGCTTTAACTATGTATATGTATGTATATTGGTATGTATATGTATGTATATTGGTATGTATATGTATGTATATTGGTATGTATATTTGTATATGTTTGTATGTATATTGGTATGTATATTGGTATGTACATATGTATATGTATACATGAGAGTAAAGGATTCTTCCAATTCAATTTACATTCACTTACAGACATCGGATTTACTTGAAATTTCGCCCACGATCGGTGACGGTACATTAATTTGGTACCATTAAGCTTACCGACTTGCTTTTCTTAATAACCTTTACCTTTACGAATATTTGAATAATCATTTCAACAGTCCATATTACTAAAACTTGTGTTTTTATTTTTATTAACATTAAAATTATCTAAATAAATTATACGTATAAGGTTTTTAGGTACAAGTTCAGATATTATTAACTATTAAACTCCATGCCAATTTTGTATGGCGAAGAGAGGAGATAATATAATCACTATTTATTAGCAGGATAGTTAAGTCTTTTCAAGCGTACCAACTTTCAATTTTTTTTACAGAAATCAATGTTTGCTTTAACTTTAATGCTATGTAAAGATATTGATGTTTGCTATTGAAATAACAATGAAAAAAACATTTTCTCGTCGAAGTAAATTATGTTAATATATTTACGATTTAAGCATATTACTTATTTCTTGAAATATTTTTATTAATTCACGATAATATTTTGTGAGATCACATACGTTATAATGAGGAAATATCATATACGAGTATAATACGTTATAATGATCTGTTTACATATACGCGATTAAGAGGTTGTCAGGATCAACAATATTTTTTTAAAGTGTTTGATAACTCGTACTCGAAAACCCGTTTTTAAATCTTATAAATTTAAATTTTCGATGTCGATTTAATATACCTATGTAGGTAATCGAATTTGATAATATTCCGTAGATCTGGTGAAGACGCCAAGATATGTATAGTCGAACTCTTGAATGGCTACTAGTTTATTAATTAATTTTGACGAATTCTATACATATCAAAAAAATATTTTTAAATACGAGCGATAATTTTTTTCAGGATATGGATGAGAATAACTGAAGTACTTTCAGTTGGATGTGGCATTTATTAGTGATAAGAATAGATAAAACGTTGATACATTGGATCTGCTTAGTTCTTTAAAAGTACTTATATGTATCGTGTAATATCATTTCTTTAAGTATTGATTGCTTAATAACTCAGTGCAGCGATGTTATGCTTTTGTATCAGTGATACAATATATATGTTATAATGTGAATTTGTGTTTTATTTTAAAAACCTTTTTTTTTTCAAGGAATTTAATATTTTATTTTTTGACCGACTTTGAAAATAAAAAGGAGGCAGTGTTATGTTAGTGTTGTATTTTTATGTATATGTTTGGTTACTTTCTATTGTAAACCGAGAAGTTGTAAACGTCATTGTACCTTTTTATTTAAAAAGTAATTATTTGTAACTAAGTAAGCTCATAGTACATTTATCTGTTTTTAGTTTTTTATTCATTACAGGGGCTGAAACGATTTAAATTAGGTGTGATTTACTTCGGTGTGATGAATTTAGTATTTATAATTTTTATTCTAATACCAAATGTTTGTTTGTGTTTGGTTATAGATCAAGATAGGGAAATAAGAAATCATTTTTTTTGCCAATTGCTCGGCCGTATAGCCGTTTCAATTATCAGCGTGCAGGAGTAAAAACATATACTTATTGAATTAATAATATTGAAAAAAAAATATAACTTGTTGAAGCGATTTTCAAATAATGTCATAATATTGTAGGTCGTTATTTAAGAAAGATAATAGAGAAAGAGAGTTTACTCGCTTGTGTCTCAATACATTCTCTTGTCATCGATATATCGTTCGTTCATTAGTCCCGTTTGAAAGCTTTGTGCTAATGTCTAAAGTTTAGCACATATTTAATGATGTTTGTGAAGAACATAAATGTGGTAAGTTAGTATTAAATTACCTTTAAATTTTAATTAAGCAATTCAGGCGCTATCGACTTTTGAACACCGAAAGTTTGACTTTCTTGGCCCAGATATGGCGATAAACTAATTGCTGAGGAACGAGAAATAACGTAAGTTTTGGTATTCGCGTAATAACGAACGAGTTCGTATTCGTATTTACGAAGCTAAGTTTCTATATCCATACTAATGTTATATATGTGGAAGTGTATTTGTTTGTTTGTCTTTCTTTCACGTCGAAACGGCTTGGCGGATTGGCGTGATTTTTTGTGTGGAGATAGTTGCAGGGCTGGAGAGTGACATAGGCTACTTTTTACTGCGGGAGATTATCTCTTTCCCACGGGAAAACACGTTATAATACAATCCAAAAAAATATTTATGATCAGAATTACTTGAAACTTGGTATTAATGCTCTTCAATACAATTAATTAAATACGTGTTTTAGCATTTTTCGAAATTCATTCCATAAGAGGGTAAAATAGCGGATGAAAGTTTGTATGGAACCTGCCATTTTAGTTTTTTTTTGTAGTTTTAGCGCAGGCGAAGCCGCGGGTTCTCCTAGTAATATATAAAAAGTTGCTTGTCTTGACTGATTATTTACACCCAAGCACGATCTTCAGTGTAGCAGTAAAAATTTGACAGCATATTATGTTATTATAATTTCTAAGGCTTTTTGAAATTTAAATTTAAAATGGTGGAAAGAGGTAACATAGTTCATACGAAAAAAATCCAGGCGAAGCCAAGCCGATTCTGCTAATAAAATCTACACATATTACATAAAAATAAAGTCGAAGTGTCTGCTTGTAACACCAAAATAACAGCTTTTTACTAAATGCATCTGAAGGTATTTTTAAAAATTTTCGTCTGTCCGTCTTGTTTAATTTGGTTAATTATCGAAACGGCTAGACCGCTTTTTCGGAATTTTCACTGGTAGATAGCTGATGTTATAAGATTTAACTTAGGCTATTTTTATTTAAAAAAAGAATTAAAGTTCCGTGCAAAAAAATTAAAACCCATGAAATTGTAAACAAAATTCAAGTACCTACGTAGCAGCCGAGCTACAGCAATTCGCAATCGTTTCACTCGTGTCCTTACGTGGTTCTTTACACCATACTTAGATATATATTATAGAAAACCACTTTCAAGTCGGGACTACAAGTCTCCTATTTTTAACTTCAGCCATAAGCTATGCTCTATTGTTGACTTAAAGAAGGACAAACAAACATACTTTTATATTACATATGTATGAACAAGTGTAATAAAGGTTTAGCTACTTAATTTTCAAAGTTCTGTGCCACACCGCTTATTGCGTTGCAAGGCACACTTTCTATTAAGAGATTAATATAACCTTGTATATAACAAAAAAAATCTCAGTACCTAACAAGAATAGAAATTTTCAGTTCTAAACATAGATTTGTTGAAAATGTTTGAAAAGTCGTTGGATTAGGTCGTTACCTAACGCGGTTACATGCCTGGGTGAATATTCTAGAGGCTAAAAATTTGTGTCTCTCGATAATACTCCTCAATGACTTAATATTTTTCAAAAACTACTTTTGTTTTGTATACTTAAATAAATACTTAAAAAGCAATCTTAGTCACATTTACGTAGAAGTAACAAAAAAAAAGATATTACGAAAAAACTATCAAAAATTCTATTATTTTGCATGTCGCTTTACGTGGTTCTCGGGAATTTTCTCACAAAAAAAATTATTATTCAATTCATATTAAATTATTTCAACTAGCTCGTGTTTGACATTGATATAATTCAACTTTATAATAATAAAATGTTTAAAAAATATGACTGGAAATTACTCAAAAATGTTATCAAAAAAAGTTTATAAAATTTACGTCATTAGTCGCTCCATATATTGTTTAATAAAGTGCCGTGAAACGGAAGGATTCGTACGCTGTGTTTTGCGTGATTTAAACCAACTACCCCGTCCCTCATTCGACTGGCAGCCATTACACGGGATACGCGTGTTGGATTTCCAACTGGTGAGTCTTGAATTTGATTCTCCTAATTGTGTCATTTCAATCGTCATTTGTTTTTTAATCTTAACTTTTAATTCAGGATTGATTCTATAAGCATAATTAGATATCTAAGTTACCTTTTGAGTAACTGTTCAATGATCATAATAATGTTTTCTGTGTATACGCTTTTTAATATGTTTTTACATGATTTTTGTGAAAACATCATTATTTGCAACGTCATTGTCTGTAAAAATGGAGAAGAAGACAATGACGCATGTTGTGAACAATGACGATGTAATTAGACGACAATGATTACTGATGAGAACAATGATTTTGATCGTTTAGATTGATGTGCAGATAGGATTAGCTGGATGAAAGTGTCATTTTAGGTTTTAGTTCCAGCTACACTTTGACAAAATTACATAATTTTACAGGTACGTATGTTAACTATTAGGTTATGTTTATTTTTTCCTTTTAAAACCTGAACATAATCCTTCATATTTGTTTACTAGCTTTCGTCGTATAATAATCATGGAAAGGAAGAGATCAACTTCATCCTCAATTTTATTTCCTACACTCTTTTGTCCAAATTATGTCCGATACTTAGAATATAAAGTTCTTGCTCCTTTTTGTTTCAACGTTTTTATTTATATGTTGGGTGTCTTATCACTCTGTTTTATATTGTTGCAGGTACTTATCAGAGATTAAATTAGTTAAAGAAATCAAACTACACACAACTGTGCTAGCACTTTTGTTTGTAGTAAATATTCCAAAATGCGTCAGAAAAGGAAAACTAAAGTAGAAAGACTAGCTCAACAAAGACTTGTCAAACGTAGGCGGTATGCAAAAATTAAAAATGACCCGGAATTACTAGCTCTTGCAAAAGAAAAAAGAAGAATGAAGTATTGAAAAGATAAAGAAGCAAAAAATGTAAAAATTATTTCGAAAAAAACTTCACGCATTCACAGAAAGAAAGTAGTGGAAAGAAAATTCGAAAATTCGTTCAGTTTAATTTTATACTTAAAACTATATTTTCCATGACATATTTCTAGTTACTACGTTATGTTTTACATAATTTCTCAATTGTCAATATTCATAAATTATTCAAGTAATTAACATGACCCACTAAAAGAAAAAAAAGAAAAATTTAACATGACAGTTTTAATAGCTATCGACAAAATAAAAAATAAGATAAGACACCAAGTTTTGAAGCAGTTGCCGTTACTGGTAATCAAGGTGAAAGCATTTCTACGCATGATCTTGAAGGAGATCCTTCGCTTAAGAATGATGCTGCTATAAGAAAAGTTCGCTACGTAGAATTAAAAAAAAAAGAAAAAAATTAGTCAATATCATCGCGGCTTACAATAAAAGGGATAAAGCTCGTTGTAAACAAATTCAAAAACAAATAAAGCAACTCAACGAACAAGAGAAGACACAAATGGAGGCAGAAAATGACATACCAGTTCTAGAAAATTACTGTTCCGAAATTAGCCTATAATCAGAAAACTGTCCCAGTGTAAGGTCTTTTATAAGCGAACGTGTAAAAAATTCTATTTAGATGATGTCAAATAGCATCTCTTGTCAGCACAAGAGATGCTATTTGACATCATCTAAATAGAGTTTTTCGTACGCAAGAAAGGTTCTTGTATCTACCACTGAAGGACTTCGGACTTCTGCAGGAAGTTCAGAATATTAGAATTACCCATTCTTTTTTTTAAATGCTGCGGCCTTTCTGGGTAGTTTTTCGAAAAAAAGTTGACAGAGGTACTTGTTTGTGCTCATTACGACGATAGAAGCATTAAATAAATTCAAGAGAGATTTGCCAAATTTTTTTGGAACGCAACTATAAAATTATGAACCAATACAAAGCTATTAAGAATCTTAATGAAAATCTAAATATTCAGGAAGCATTAATTAGTACATGTCGACTTTTCTGAAAATTATGCCTTGAAATATGGAGCAGAAGTTAAGTTGATCCACTTTGGTGGAAATAGGCAGCAGGTTTCCTTGTATACTGCAGTTACCTACATACATCAATTTTCTACTGGACAAGTTTGACCAACTTCCACGTGCACAATAAGTGATTGTTTACGCCATGATGCTCCAGCTGTGTGGGGTCATTTAATAC